TATTATTAGGACCCACTGAAAATGAAAAAACAATAATACACAGTAATAACATCAAAAACCACTGCATTGGATGTCACCCTCTGGGCTCCTGAATAATCCTTCAGTACGCGGTACTACGGCTGCACTGATATGGTTTCCTCGTTACTGATCAGGCTCCGTTCTATATTCACACTCTTCACACTATAGTCCAAATAGCACCAATGCTGTTCAAACGCTTTGTAAACCCGCTCCGTTTGGAGTGAACACCGAGGATACCCAGTACTTGTCTGAAAATGTATTCGGCTTAAAAATCCCATTCCAGTGTCTTCAAAAATTGATACTAACCTAGTGGACCTGACATGAACTATGGCGAGCAGGATATTTCACCTGATTCTATCTTCCTCACCGAATTACTTTATTTGGGCACGAGCCTCACATTAAACCCATCAGAACCTCGAAACAGAAACGAAGCTCCAGGGGAGGATTCCTGCGGAATAGCGAATGCTGCCCCCTGAATGACAATTGTCCTAATATATGCACCCACCCCTATCTTCCATGCACCGACGGGCAATCTTTCCTCCCGCCCGCCGTCCCCCGGACGTCCCGGGGCGGCCCCCACAATGGCATCGCCATCTACTAAAATCTCGCGTCTCGGCAGCCGAGAGGCGGCAGCGCCGGCCCTCGGGAACAGCAATGTCATGGGCCCCTCGCGGACCACGTGCGTGGCGGCGCGGCGGGGAAGCGAGGGGAGGGCAGCAGGCTCCCTGCGGGGCGTCTCCGGAACGCCCCGTCGAAATCCTACCGGCCCCGGCAAGTTCCCCCTGCCTGCCCAGCGGCGGGCGCGGAAGCGCCCGCCCCCGCCCCTCGTCGCGCCCGACGCCGCTCCGGGCGTAATATATACACTCACGTTGGCCGCGGACGTCCGTAGGCCCTCTGCCGTGCGCCTGCTCTCGCCGAAGGCTTCGCGTAACGCGGCGCGGCTCATAGTCCGCGTTCATTCCATCTATTCAGATCAGAGGTCACCCCAGTGGAGCTATCGTGGCTCCGGCGTGGCGCGCGCGTGCGTGCGTGTTCGTCATTTCCATTCAGTCACATCTGTCCCTGACCATATTCCGAGTTACCCGCTTCTTCTCTGCCTACCCCGTCCTGGTGCGGCTGGATATACGACAGTAGATGTGGAAAACGCGACGTCCATTTTTTCAAGGACCACTCCCGGCCCAAGCCGCTGTTTAGAGGGTGTCCTATTTCCAGGTTGGTCGCGTACTTTTTGGTTCCCAGTCCGGAAAGACACGGTCGGACTGCACCGGTATTGCCCGGTACTTAAGTAACATTGTGTTTGTTCAACAGGTCTACACAGTAAATTCGCAATTTTATTATTCGCATTACATTTTGAAACTTAAATACATATTTTTTTTTAATTTACGGAACCTGTTTTGTTCTACGATGGATGTGGCGCGTAATTCTACTAGATTCCTAATTCCGGCTTGTTTACCAAAACAATCTCAAGCCATAATCTTGATACGCTTCAATTTCACCAACAATTCTCTATAAATTATCCACTTAATAGCTGGAAGTTTATTAAGAGACACTTTTGCCGCCGTGCCTAGCTCTTAATGGCGGGGCAGGTTGGTCTCCCCTGCAGGCATCGCCCGTCGCCGCGCCTTTGGCCACAACCCCAAGAGTCTGCGGTCACTTCGCCACGCCCAGCGCCGCCCCCCCGATCGAGGTGGCTCAAATATTTCTCCGGGGAAAGGGGCCGTGCGGTGCCGCGGCCGGGGGCGGCGGCGCCGCGGGTCCGGGGAGGCTGTCCCCGCCGGAGTCCGGGGACAGCCCCGGCGCCGGAAAGCAGCAGCCGTGGGGCGTGGGGCGCGGGCGGGCGAGCCGACGTCTTAAGGCCGAGAACGATTCGCCGGGCGGGCGCGTTCGTCGCTTGGGGGTGGGCCCGAGCCCAGGGCTCGCGCGGCGCGGGGCGGCACGCCGGGGCGGCAGCGGGGCGGGAGCGGGGGCAGGCCTCAGAGGGGCGCCCGGCCGGTTTTTCGCCCTTTTAAACCTACGTTGCCTCAAGCCGCCCGGAAAATCCTCGGCGCCGCGGCG